TTTAGCTAAATAGTTACTAGGAGGGGATAAGATAACAGTCCACAAGAATTTGAAGAATGCAATTGCTAAGAAGGGAGATAAATAGGATGCATAGGAGATCTAGTTTTACATCTGTTTTCATGCTACCCCATCCTTGAAATAACCTCCCACCTCTTCTCTTCCAAATGGCCTCTGTCCCCTCACCCTTCAAAGCCTTCCTTAGAACCCATTTTGTCTGTGAATTCTTCCTGTTATGATCTCGATATCCAAGGGATAGCCACATTCTCTTCTATCTTAACTGTTGCCCATAGAGTTAAATGAGGGGTGAGTTTGTTGTATTGTGTTTAACCTTCACACTTGAAAGCAGTAATGTACATTCCTGTCTTAGCTCCTCTAATAGTAATAATTTAGACCAGTAAATTAAAGGCCTGTTTATTCAATGGAAAGCCCTAATGCCTATGATATAAAACCCATCCTAGATATGGGTCATCTGGCTGACCAAATCTCAACAATACTAGCTCATCTTTAGTAACTGCCGGAGTGGAGAGACTGGCAGAACCTCTTAATGTGCCAGCAGGGAAAGAATTATGACTTTCTGAGTCACAATTCCTTCCCAGGGTTGCCTACAGCATGCTGTCTTTACACAGGGATGAGCTGAAAGGTTCCATCTAGACATAAAGATATGAGTAGATCCTTGACCCAGAGTTGCTTTACTCTGCTTTTACACCACCAGAGGGTTCCCCTACCTCAGGAGAATCCTCAGTTGCCCCTTTGGTGCAACTCTCCAGCCACAGAGAACCTAAATTCAAATATAAAAGACCTAGATAAAGTGGCTGATTTTAATGGGGTTGTGCACTATCAATCCAATTGGCTGCTCAGAACCTTAGGAAAACTGGGCTACTTATTTTAGTTCCTAAACATGGACTTAATTTCCTAGCTTTAGATACACACAAGTTTGAAAATGTTGACCTTTGGGTTTAGCATAATTCTTTGAAGTCAAAGGCAAAATTCTCATTAAAGTCAAGGGAAGTCAGAGTTGAGCACTAGACTGTAGTACTGGAAAAAGACATCAATATTCAGCTGTTTATGTTGATCGAGGAAGTCAATCAACCATATAACGGTCACATTGAAAAGCTCATAGACTCAGAGGGTGTCCTCTAAAACACTGTCAGGCTATAAACTGTCTATGGAGTAAGTTAGTGTGACCCTCCCATATCATAATTGTATCTCCACAAGAGCAGAACAAAACCTAAAAGGACTCTAGTATGCAACAAATTCTCAGTGCCAACTAAAAGAGATCAGATTGTATATTTAAGGGAGATAATTCTGGGAACACAAACTGGATAGATTTTAAATTATTTTTGTGAGCAGGATTGTCCCATTTTTAGTTTTGTTGACCAAGCAAATTGAGTTGCTAACTTATTTAACCTGATTATCCTCATGACCTGAGGTTTCTGTACACACTTACATTGCTGACCATCAGTGACCACATGGACCAAAATATCTTTATACATTTAAGCAGAGCAGCTCTGAACTATAAGTTGTGGAGACACAATTAAGCATGGAATCCAATGGGGCCATTTGACCATGCTTGTTTTCAGACTAGTGCCACACTGTAAAGCAATTGTGAATTCAAATATTTGCAAGTGTACTGTACATGTCAATACAAGTACCACATCTAGGGTCTCATCCAAAGCACACGGAAATCAACTGAAGAACTCCTCACCTTTATTTTTCATTTTAGTATGAATACCTCACTCCATGCTCCTCGCTCTTTCTGAAGCCTATAGCTGGATCAGATAATCATTCCAAACACATTTATTTTGCTGGGCTCAAGTGCCTAGAGGGGATATGGCCTCAAAAGCTTCAGCATACACATGTACTTTGCCATGGAGACATACTCTATATTGGGGTGGACAAACTTTTTGGCCTGAAGGCCACATTGGCATTGAGAAACTGTATGGAGGGCCGGGTAGGGAAGGCTGTGCCTCTCCAAACAGCTTGACCCCCGCCCCCTATCCACTCCCTCCCACTTCACACCCCCTGACTGGCCCCCTCAGAACTCCCGACCCATCCAACACGCCCCTGCTCCTTGTCCCCTGACCACCCCCTCCCGGGACCCCCACCCCTAACCGCCCCCGGGATTCCCATACCTATCCAACCCCCCCGTTCTCTATCCCCTGACCCGCCCCCCCCCAGAACCTCTGCCCCATCCAACCGCCCCCTGCTCCCTGTCCCCTGACTGTCCCCCGGGACCCTCTGCCCCTTATCCAACTCCCCCAACCCCCA